TAAGATATTAGGGTATTCTATAGTCTTTGGACGGGAGAGAGCGCTCAAAACTCTTCAGATTAATTTAATGGAACATTAATATAATATAGAATCAACCTCTGTAAAGAAGTGAGGCGTGAACGTGAGAATTTATCATTATCTTTGTAAATGTGCGCTCTTTTGGGCTAAAGGCTTAATGGAACCGTTTAAAGTAGCCATGTGATCACAAATTAACTGATGTGATTTAATACGTGTCCTTTTTCTATGTGAAAAAAATAATAAATTCCAGTTTATGCTGTTTGATTATGGCTTCGAATGTCATAGTTGGAACCTGTTAGCCCCGGCTGGCCCGTGTGCGCAGTTGAAATGCAGCTAATAATTTCTGACTGGCACATAACTGAACAAATGTAAACGGGTTAAGGCGGGGCCCCCTACAAGGCGGGGCCCCTGGGCTGCAGCCCATTCAAGCCCAATGGTAAGTCCGGCCATGCACACGATATACATACAGACACACACGATATACATACTGCATACTGTAAATATAGCACAAGTATACTATTCTGAGCATAGCCAATGTAACCAAAAACCTCTTTCAGAGTTTTGGTTTGACTCATTTAGTTTGTTTGACCCATTCAAAATCATGTTTTTGAACTCTACTTAGACATTATGGCTCAACCTAGACACATTTGTCATTACATAGATAAACAAGCTTAGCCCTGCGTAAAGCCAGTGCATGTAACACACAGGCTGTCAGCACGCCGTTGTAGTGTTGTTTGTCTGGTGTTGAAATGCAGCGCTTGCTTGTACTCTTATTTTTAGAAAGCCAAAGATTTAAGCCTCTTGTTTTTTGTTGTTTTTTTCTGGTGGGGTGTAGGTGGCTAACCTGAATAGTAAGGACAACACCTTCACATTGAAGGATTGCTTGTTTAAGGAAGTTCAGAAGGACTGGCCTGGTTATACTGAGGTGGACCAGCAAATTCTGAAGAGAATTCTTGTACGGTAAGCTTCATATTTACAGTGAACTTTTTTTTTTTTTCTTTGGAATTTATTTAATAGTGTTTTTTATAATTATTATTTTGTTATTTTAATTTAATTTTAAATTATTTTATTTTCCGTGATATGATTTTTATTAGTTTTTTTTTATTTTGAGTCCCAGTACTGATGTCTGTATACATGTGCCTTTTTTCTTTTTTTTTGTGTGTTTTTCCTTTTTTTTTTTTTTTTTTTTTTTTTAGCCATTTTTATTAGGTTTTTTTATATGAATATGAATAATTTCAGTACATCAAGTTAAATTAAATGAAAATCATAAATGTTGCCTTGGCACCTTGCTGAATAAAAAGGTAAGTTTATTATTATTATTATTATTATTATTAGTTTTATTTT